GGGGGGGGGGGGGGGGGGGGCGGTAGCCCCCCCCCCCCAGTTTGTTGGGCAGTCGGGCAATTTTCGATCAACAGTCGGGCAATTTTGATTTGTAATAAGAATAAATGGGAAATAGTCTGAAATTCAGTCGATTTTGTGGTAAATTATGTGTTGTTTGGAAAATTTGTGTGATGTTCCGAAAAATTTAGGTATGTCCGGAAAATTTTTTGACCCCTAAAACGGTACACTGACCGAAAATTTTTTAGCGAGGGGGGGAGGTCGTCAAAATAATTTTTCCGGAAAAATTTTTTTGGTACTAGTCGGGCAGAATCCCGAAAAGTCGGGCAAATTTCTTTCCGCCCCCCTAATTTTTTCCTTCCGGTACGCCCATGAATAAGATGTTCTTCATCGGATTTTAGCGAACATTCTAATTAGGAAATACATGAGGAAAAACTGTATGACGTCATTGCGTATAACGGTATAAACCTGATATTTAGCGTAAACGTTTAGTTTATAAGCTGAGTGATTATCAATGTATGCATGACGTGAAAGTATGATTACATTTTACAGACACCCTGTGTAAATAGAACAGTAAATGGTGAATAATATAATTGGGTGTTCATATCGTATTTTGTAACTTGTATATTTTTTAATGAAATTTAGAATACTATCTGACTATAGTCCCGATATGTTTCCTATGAATTGCCTTCATAAACTTTCAAGGTTCGTCGGGCAATACTACGGCCACGCCCTTTATGTCAGGCAAAATAGTCCCATACCCCCCGAAAGTTTATACCCAAGTTTCGGCCCTGTCCGCTGTTTTTGAGTGCGTCAGGAATGCCATGTATATCATTATAGCAGCTAGCAGCCAGAAACAATCACGGAGACAGAACTCAACTCACCAGAAATAGAGAAGATGTCAAACTATTTATAGATACACAGCAATGGCATCTTGCTGTACCAGCTGACCATGATTTAGACACAAACAAAATATTAAGTTTATAATAATAATAATAATAATAACACTTTATTTAACGAGGATTAACAGATAAAGCTACCACTTTTCTAATCTGGTCCTCTAAAATTACATTAATACATAATTTACATGCAGACATTACAGACCGCATTAACTGACATACATTACAATCAGTCAATCACACAATATAAAACTATACCTATCAATAATTATATCTAGAATTAATTAAAAAATAAAGTTTATAAAAGAGACCATCTAGCCATACACGAAAGTCAAACGCTTTCGATGAATTGAAGAAGTAGCAGCAAGCCTTGCTCCCACTCCACACTTAATTAATCATTTCCTAAGCCAGGCAAAACTGGATAGAACCGCAAACTGAAAACGAAAATTTTCTTATAAGCACTTTTCTTTTACAAACGACTCCGACCACGATTTAGCCTTTTTATTAAAATGTATGTGACATGAAATTTGTTATTTTCTTAAATTAAAGAACTCTTTAATCTGTAGTGTAACTTATTTTTCAGTTTCTTGTTTTTTTGAATGAAACTTGTAGGTATCAGCTGATCGAGTATACTCTTAATTTAATGATCGAGTACTCTTATGTGACTATTATTCTGTCGCTTCCCATGCATCTGTAGCTCCAGTCTAAATAATTTAAACACCGTCAAAAGGTTGTTTAAATGGCCCTTAAACTTTACCTGCACTCAAACTAGAGTTGAGCTGAGCACCTCTTTTTATAGTAACAGTCCAGGAGATCTATGTGAATCAAAGGGTGGCCGAATTCCAAAGTAGCCAACAGGGTGAAGGTGCTGCATGTGCTATTGAATCCTCGTCCCAGCTCTCCAACTCTGTTTATTTAAGGCGTTGTCGATTAAACCAAGTCAGAAGAAGTGCTTATTATTGACCCGAAAGTATCCCACAATGCACTGTGCATTCCAAAAGTTCTCTGTATTAAAAATTGCGTCTATTAACCTTATGCTGTCCCATATTAAAATTGCGTTTATTAACAATATTAAAATTGCGTCTATTATGTTGCCCTATTAATCTTATGTTGTCCCAGTTGTCCCATAACTTACGGGGTTCCTCAGGGCTCTATTATTGGTCCTCTTTTGTTCTTAGTCTATATCAGTGACCTGCCTGAATGCCTGAATGAGGGGTTACCTAGAATGTATGCCGATGGTACCAACATAAGTTTTCAAAGTAATAAATTTGATGAGCTTGAAGATCTTATGAATATCGAACTTGGAAAACTTAAAGAATGGCTTACACCCGTTTTCAAAATTACGCGACCTCCCTGAAAAATACTCTTACTTCAAATGTCAGTTTTATGTCACAAAAACTGCTAAAAATAGCAAACGTAAACAAACTAACTGTCAAAAGACATTTTAAACCGTATTTAATACCAAAACTGAACAAAAATGAGTTAGATAACTTAGATATACAAACTAAAGCACAATACAAACCATCACAACAGAAATATGTGCCGTGAATAACTTTTAAAGTTTGAAAAATATCAATTTATCCTGGAATTTAGCTGTCCGTATAAAACAGGCGCGCTAGACTATAACGGTGATGTTATGATTTTGTTTGTGCTTAAATTTTGCAATAATTCTTACTAAAATATCTTGAAAATCATTGTAAGCCTGTTTATATAAAGCATACAAAGCATATACATCGACCAGGAACCGCAAAACTCAAAGTTTAAACTTCGTGACCGAATGACATAAAACTGACATGTCAACTCTAGCATTTTCGTCCTTGGTCGCGTAATTTTGAAAACGGGTGTAATGTTAACAGACTTAACAAGTTGAGTTTAAATGTTGCTAAAACTGAGTTCATGGTTATCGGTTCTCGTCAAAGACTTGCAACATTTGATGACCATGAAATTAATGTTTTTGTAGGCAACGATCAAATTGAAAGAGTCAATAGCTCTAAATCTTTAGGACTTAAAATTGATGAAAACTTGACCTGGAAAAGGCATATTGATGAAATCTCAAAAAAAAGTCTCGGTCGCAATTAGCGCTTTAAAGCGAATAAGAAGCAATATTATAGTCAAGATACAGCAGCTAGAGTGTATCAGGGACTAATTGAGCCATATTTTTCCTACTGCGCTCCTGTTTGGGGCGGCATTGGTAGTAAATTGAGTGATAAATTGCAAAAACTTTAAAATAGAGACGCACGTGTTATAACACGTTCTTCCTATGATGCTTCATCTAGCTCTGTACTTGAAAAACTTAGATGGAATAATTTATATACTAACCGTAAAATGCAAAAAGCAATTCTCATGTATAAAGTCACGAACAATTTAACACCTATGTATCTACAAGATTTGTTTGTAACTAGAGTTAGTCACCATAGTCTCAGAGATTCTGAAGGCAAACTGTTTCTCCCTAAACATAGAACGGATTATCTTAAGCGCTAAAGCGCTCCTCGTTTAGTTATAGTGGAGCTTCATTATGGAACAGATTGCCTGAATCTCTGAGATCATCTTTATCACTTTCATCTTTTAAAAGATCTTTAAAAACTAATAATGCTATTTAACTCTTGTCCGACTCCCACACGGCAACCTGGTAGAACAGTAGCCCCATATTTGTTATATTTTTATATATACTATGTGAATCCAAATATTTTTAAGTTTAGAATGATTTTGACTATATTTATTATGTAATATTACTGAAGGTTTACCGTGTTTTAAATAAAGGCGATGTATGTATGTATGTCAGTGTATTATTGTGTATATGTATGTTCCTTTCGTAACGAATTTTAAATTTAAGAAAAATTACCAGCTACTGCATGCATGTATAAGAATATTCGGTTAAGGGCCTGTTCATATGGGGAAAAGTTATCCTGGTTAGCGAGAAAATATTTCGACTGGATCTGTTCATATGGAGAAACGTTATCCCGCTTACCGGGTAAAGTTTACGGCTGTGACGTCAGCACTGGTGTGACGCGCAAGGCGGGAAAAGTTAAACTGAAACATTAGTATAATTACATTGGTGATTATAGAAAATTCTCCACGCTGATTGGTTGCCGTTGAGATCATTATAACGCGATAATCACCTAAGCGATTTTCGAAGTGGTGGCCGGAGCCGTTTTGTCAATTAAATGACGAAGAAATGTCTATCTTCTATTTTTTTTCCAAATAATCACCTATGAAATTATACTAAAACAATTATTCACCTCAGGCTTCGTGATTATCGTGAATAAAAACCTCGACTTCGTCTCGGTTTTTATTCACCGATAATCACCTCGCCTTCGGCGAATAATGGACCATTCCCCAATTAACCAAAATTTTGATCTCAAATTTGGAATTTTACTAATTTTGTGATGCTCTTTCAAGCTGTGATGAAATTTTTGTCTAGACTTGTTGAGTTCAAAATTTTGGTTAATTGGGGAATGGTCCATTGGTAATTAAACTATAACATTTTAAAAACAGAAAAGTTGCTGACACGACGGAAAATATCCTGGTAAGCGGGAAATTAACGGGGAAAGTTGTGGCTATGTTGTGTTCATATGGGAAAAACATTATCCCGGTCACCGAGATCTCGCCTGTCAACAAGCGAGATCTCGGTACAGCGGAAAACGTTTCGTATCATATGAACGCAGTGTAACTTTTCATACTACTTTCATAACAAGGCGAGATCTCGCTTGTTATGTTCAAAATGTTTTCTCGCTAACCGGGATCCGGATAACTTTTCTCCATATGATAAGGGCCCTAAGACTGCTTTCCAGTTAAGAGTTTAAATTTATACGCAGATGCAGAATATAATTTTTGGACAGCATTTAGTTTATGAATGATTTAATGAGTATTTGTTAGGGTAATTAGTACTTAAATTAAATTTAGAACCGAAGATCTAAATCTTTAATATAAGTACTTATTACCGAAACAAATACATGTTAAATCATTCATAAACTAAATGCTATCCAAAAATATTATTCGTTTATTTATAGGCGCCCTTTAAATAGATTTAAACTTTTCCGTGTGTATATATACGTACGTGTGAAAAACGCTTAACTGGAATTGGAAAGCAACCTTTAGTTTTACAACCCTAGCTAAATACAACAACTATAGAAAACGCCAAATTAAGTATAATAACGCCAAATAATTGGTGACGTAATAATACCGCGCAACAAATTAAATTTGCTGTTATTATGTAATTTTTTAAAAAGTGATATTACGAACGTTAGGAATTAGTAACGGTGTGCGTCATCAAGTTGATCATTACATTAATTTAAAAAAGTTCTTAATAATATTGAATATTGGCAATTTTACATCATCGAATCATCGATCGAACTTTTTGTTCTTTACACTTTGAAGCCTTGGCAACGTTTCGTTTAGTGTATACATATACAAGTTTTAATCATTGGTACACATTCATTTTGTAATGTAATCTTGGGTGCCCATAAGTCTGCAAACGCAGGAGGCTCTGTGAGTACCACTTATTTAATTAATTATGTTTCGGTCAATGGAAATAAAGTCATATTTACACCGCAAGCACAGGCCTGGCGTAATTTGCCTTACGCTGCACGTTTGCGGATTAATTAAACTAGTCTGCCATGCCAGGTCTAGCCTTGTAGTCTAAACACGGTAGATTAAATTTTCCTTTTGGAGAGAAATTTCAAAGTATTTGGGACCAAAGTGTATTTAATAATATGAGATTGCTTCAAGCATTCAGTTTAATTTTTTTTTATATAATTGTTCATTTCATTCTTTAGTATTTTGAATCTAGCATCATGATCCACCGTATACAGTCAATATTTCCCACATTATACATGTATTTCTGTCACTTGTTCATAAGTAACCAATAATTATTGCTACACCCTTAGAGAGCATCATGAGTGGTATGTCGCGTCACAAACGCTTGCTTTGCAGGTTAAGCATAAATCTGGCTTTTCGCGATCTTCATAGTTTCAGGACCGAAGCAACTGAATCATTCCAACGCTCAACGTTCAAACACGTTTGTTTTCACAACCATGCATGGCTATGACGACTCCAATATATATTTAAATATTTCGCTATTGACTTTACGATAATAGCAAGACCTGTAAATCCATTACATTTGTTCCAGTTAAGCCAGTATTAACTAAATACTTCCCATTTTCCAACCCACTATAAAATGAAAACGAATCATTGTTCTCCAGATAAGTTATGGCATCAAGACTTTGTGCTGTTGCCATGGTAACTAAATTTGGAAATGCGTAAGCGCCAGCGGCGGGTGTAGGGCCATCTTGACCGTCGGTCCCAGCACTCAGTAGGAGACGATTTCTTTCAGAAGGAAATTTATTCATTTCAATGGCAGCAGCCAAAGCAAGTTCTTGATTGCGACCACCCCGTCCATTACCATGAACAGAAACAGTAGTTTCTCCTGCACCTAGGATACATACTGCTTTCCTCGACTTCGCAAGATCTTTTATTGCTATAGGAAGATTCGTTGTTTCTACAGATGAAATTCCTAATGTAGCATAGAGCTTGCCAACATCCCTAGCCTCACCACTTACATATGTATTGTAAATAATGACACCATACCCAAGTTCGTAGGCCATTGAAGATGCTCCATCTACAGCTACTGTGTTGTTGCCAATTATAATATTATTAACATGAGAGAAGTTAAGAATCTCTATTGGGTTATCTTTACTGTTAAGATATTCCATAACATTGAGTGGTAAATCATGACCAGCATTTAGTTTCTCAACAATCTCAAGACAATCTCTTTTTGTGGACGTGTCAGGAACGGTAGGGCCACATGCTATTATATCCATAGGATCTCCGAGAACATCAGATAAGATTAATGTGATAACCTGTTAGAAACATAAAACACAATTTATACATTCATTACCTCTTGTCTCGTGAAGCTGAATTTGCTTAACTCCTTATGTACACTTGGTTATGTACACTAGCTTGCTTAAAGGGTATTGGCAACAAAAATTTTTATTGATTTTATTGCTTCATCTGAAAGAGCATGAAAAAATAAGCCGATTGGCCGGTTACTGCTCTATTCTATCTCATCTGGTTCCGAAGTTATACGCAAAAATGTGCAAAATATAAATTGCTGATTCAGCACATTCTGTGACGTCATAAACTGGGTAAGTATGTTTATTGAATAGTAAACTAAAGCATAGCTGAGTTATTATTGGCTCAAATCAAATGAAATTTTGCATACAGATAGTACATGATGAGATGCATGGGAAAAATACTTCTAATTTCGTTGTCAAGGCAACACAGTCGTTCCCAGGCCTCTTACACTGATTTTGAATAACTAGTTGCATTTATCTATGTGTATGTCATTTTCGAATTATTATCATGCAAGTAAACTTTTGGCATGCATAGGTATCATATACATACTTCTGATATTATTTTATTCGTATCAGTACCTTGAATAAAGCTGTTTCATAAAATTGGCGTAAGGGGCCTGGAAACGACATTGTTACCTTGGCAACAAAATTAGAAGTGTTTTTCCATGCGTCTCATCATGTACAATCAGTATGCAAAGTTTCATTTGATTTGGGCCCATAATAACTGAGCTATGCTTCAGTGTAGTATTCAATAAACATACTTACCCAGCTAATGACGTCACACGTTGTGCTGAATCAGCAATTTATATTTTCACATTTTTGCGTATAACTTCGGAACTAGATGAGATAGAATAGAGCATTAAACGGCCAATCGGCTTATTTTTTCATGCTCTTTCAGATGAAACAATAAGATAGATGAAGCAATTTTTGTTTCCAAT